CACAGGTCGGCGCAACATCGAGGGCCGAAGGGCCTGTACTGCGCTGTAATGTTCTATGTTCTATGGTCTTCCCAGACCACACAGCTACTTTCTCAGAGGCAACTAGGGGTAGTTTAACCTGAGGGCCACCATGCCGCAGGCGAAGGAGAGTCCTTCATGGTAGTGTGGGAATTGAACCAGGGTTGTGGACAACAAACCAGTCAGTCATCCATCCAACGGAACTAAGCAACCCAAAGATTATGTACAAGCTTAGAAATTGTTTTATCTGTTGCTGATTCAGTTTGTTGCTGATTCAGTTTGTTGCTTAGATAGTTAGATGGAACAGATTGAGCAGAAAGTCCAAAAGGATCTAGTGAGTGGGCAAAACTGCAAACGTGAAGTTCGTTGTTGGGAAAGGAAAGACACAAGATGGATAAGATTAGTTTCTAAGTGGTGAGAAACTGAACTGGGAAGGAACAGAGTCCAAAGCCACTGGACAGCTATGAAAAGAAATGGCTAACGCTCTCTTTATAGAGAGGTGGAATACAAAAAGGGGTACAAGTTAATATACAAGTCTAGGAAGACACCACATTTAGCATACTGCATTTAGTTATGGGGACCACATTTCATGCTTTTGGAAGCACAGATAACCAGAATAATAGCAGGGCTAAACACAAAATCAAGTTAGATCACAGACTAAACCTCCTAAACACAAAAACAGTAATCTAATTGAGAGGTTTATTAAAGAGGAATCAGTAAGAGAGAGTGAAACTAAATTTACACTGGAAACAAGGGGTAATAACACTTGTAGTCTTTGAATACCTGGAATGGGCTGAGTTAAATAAGCTTTAAACAAACTGTCATGAGAGGTGGAGTCTATTTTTTTGAAGCAAGGTCAGTTTAAGCAATAGTTCTACACTCAAGTTTAATCTGCAATGTTTTGTGTTGGACATCGGTCATTTCTGGGAGTTTAAAAAAAACTTTGTAAACTGCTCTTTTCTAGCCCCCTTATTGTAAAAGGTTATCAAATCACTTGCAAAATGAAGTATTCTACTTCCCACATTAATTATAGGGTAGATTAAAGTTGTGCATTTATATCGAATCTTTCATTACCATCAGACATTCTAAATGCATTTTACATTTAATGAAGCACTCTTGAGCAACAGACAATCATTGGTGGAATGTGGAAGCCAACTTGCACACTGCAAACTCCTACGGGTTGTAATGTGGTAATGACTAAATTGGTTTTCTTGAATTTGATGAGACACATTAGCCAGGATGTTCCCCAACTCATCTACGCTAACTGAGCTATGGCAGGCTCTGAACAAAAAAAGTTAAAGAGTAATATTTATTCTGCAATAATGCACCATCCCAACCTCCAAAGCAATAGCTACAGTCACATTAGTTTGAATTTTTATTTTTCCTACTTCTTTGGCCATTCAGATCCCCAATAGCTAATTATAGGTAGTTATGTACAGTGTACCTGTCCCTGTTTAAAACTTGATTGAGACAGAATCACATCATAAGACAATAAAATGGCAGGGAGAAAAACAAAGTATTCTAATCTTTTGGAGTACCAACTTCCTATTGCTACTTTACTTTCTACAAAACCATTCACCCCGAAACTCTCCAAAAATAGTCATGCCGTGTTATTGCATACAAAACACAGATGCACGAGTTCTGAAAACTAATCGAACTACAACTGCTAAAAGCATTGTTATTGCCACAGTATATACTTATGAGTGATTCCTGTGGTAAAGTGTCAATGCCTCTGGGACAGAAGACTCAGGTTCATGTCACACCTGCTCACAACAGGTCTGATCAGGTTGTTTAGAAATATCTACACTAATTACGGAATCATGGACGTTTCAACCTTTGGTCTTGCATGATAATGCAGACCCTTTATCACACTACCTTAAAACAACAACTTGCAACTGGTGAGAGATTAAGTATAGATATTACAGAATGGAGCAATCCAATATTGCCCACATTGATCTGGTGCAAACGTGCCTGATATTTCTGCAAAGCAGACGTCTAATATATGAATGTACGAATGGAATGCAAAGAGTTGTAAAATAAAATTCTGAAATGGTCATCTACAGCTATCAAACAAAATTGAGGGCATTATCACAATTCTAAAATGCAAATTCCATAATACAATTTTGCTTTATTTCAAGTGTTTCTTCTTCCTATCTTCATCCTCAATTTTTTCCTCTGTATACATGCCATGTTGGTCAAACAGTGGAAGTGCTGAAACTCACTTTCAGAAATCTGTTTTGCTGCAATTGCAGCCCACCATCAAGAAATCACAAACAAGCTCACAAAGTTTTTATTTAGCTGTACAGTATATTGCCCTGATTACCAAATGTGTCTGTGCAAGTTAATTTTTGTGGACTAACAATTAGAATACACAACGTCAATAACGCTTGCTGGGTAGTGCATGTTTAGAGATATCTGGTGAAGACGAAATCAGGCCTCAATTATCTGTTGAATATTCGATTAAAACTCTTCTTATGAGGCACTAAAGGACATGTGTGAAATCATGTGCCATCTCAAGGCATAGCTTTTGGAAGAAATATGGGAAAATTTGAAAGGGAGTGTATTAAACAATAAGTGGGTAGAACTTATTGCAGTTTTGTGTTATCAAATCTAACACACATCTCAGAACTTATTAAAAATTCAAGGTAAAACGTGCTGTTCTCAGATTTTGCATACTATTATTAAAACAATCAACTCTACTTTAAACAAGTTACACTTCTAAATTACTGCCCACACAAAAGCCAAACAAATGCAATGCTGGGCTATTACTTTAATAATTTGCTTTACACTAGAAAATAAGTGGAATATTGAAATCTTAGTGCAGATTAAATTAGTCTGCATCTCACCTACTCTCCTGAATCTACCTTAAATGCCTGCAAAACATTATGTAATCTCACACTATTTTCTAGTACTCACCACAATTGCAGTTTCCTCACCAATTTTATACAAATAACCACATCCATATACTTTTGCACCTTGTTTTTTTGTATTATCTCCCTGATGAACTCCCTTCTATCAAGTATTGGGACACTTACCCTATTGACAAATTAGTCATGTTACTTTTATTGCCCAATTTGCTTTTCAAAATTTAAATACAATTTAAATATCCTGTTTTCACATTGCAAGATACAAAATTTTAAAATATTTTGTTGCTATCTATCCCTATGCATTTACAATTAGTCTTCCAGATATGACAGCTTCTAGGCTTCTGTTAATACTTATGGTTCCACCAGTGGAGGGTAGGAGACATCTTTCCTGTTTCTCTCAACACCATTCTCTTCTGCCACAGACTGTGCTTAGCTGAATTCAGAACAGAAACTCAAACTGAATCACAGATCATCTTCAATTCCCTGGCGAACATTTAAAACACCAAGTTCTGCCAAAATTGAATGTTATTTGTGGTAGGGTTGCAAAAGTCGTAAGGAAAATTAACAGGGACGAATTGATTGACAAAACAAATTTATCCAATCCAAAAGATGATAAAAAGGAAAATCAGTTCCTTGAAGCATAATAAAACAAAAACCAAAATCAGAGATAGTGTATAAAAACAATACCAAAATGAAGACTAATATCAACAAAATACAGGCAATGTTGTGGGAAAAAAATCAAATTTTTAATGATTCTCCTGTGCAAGATTACAGCTCTGAAGTTTTTTTTGAATTGAGATCACAGATTTCATATTGTTATGATTGCTACAGGATTAATAAAATAACATTGCAACCATCTGGTAAAAGGTATAACCAGAGAAAAAAATCTCACCAATATCGATACCGACATAATGGCATCTTTGCTGCTTACCAAGTTTGTGAAAGCTGCATGCATTTCATAGTAGTAAAAAGAAACTGAAAAATGCCTGGACTTCGAAGTTATTCCCATTATGGCTCGGTGGAAGGATCAGTTTGCAATGGCCATGATTAACTTGGTCTCAACTCTGTGTTTTTAATTGATGTGACAGCAGGTTGACAGTGGGCAGTGCACTTTCATTCAAGACAGACACTGCCTCCAAGACAATGAAATCATGTTAAGATATGATCTATAGTATTGTCATGTCCCTGTTTCTTCAAAGGCAATTAGTCTTTGTGCAACAGTGACAGTTGAAATGTCATGGCATTACAAAGCCTTGTTTTAACTAGACAATGTATTGTACCAAAACAATCTCTCAGCAAGAAGTGGGTGCTGAAAGTCAATATGGACAAAAAGAAACAGCAATAATTTGTTAGGACCTGGTTTCAAGACTCAATTTCTTCAAATACATTAATGTTCAGGAAATTAGTAATGACAAACAACTGTAATATTAACTACTGAATATGAAGGTTGTTTATTTAAATTGTTTATTAAACGAGGACTTTAATAGTACTTAAAAGCATCAAATTACAAACAAACATTCAATGACTTAATCTTTTGTGTGTCTGGCATGAGTATCTAAAGCATTTATTTCATACTTTTGAAAAGGTAAAACAAAGCAAAGTCAGAAATAACTACAGGCTGATCAGAACAACGCTAGCCCTAGAATGGAAATTAAGTTTAATCAAACAACAAAGAATTAAAGGTTAATAGTCTCTCTTGGAAAGCAAAATGCCTCAGCTTGATAATATACTATTAAATACAAGATACTGTGAGTGAACAGAATAAATGAACTCTAAAGAAATGACACGGGAGGCAATAAAGAGACACATGACAACTGAATAAAAGGCCAAAGCACATCAGATACCATTAAAGACTATTTTAATGTTGTTGCAACTCCAACATGCAACAATCATTGGTGTGCAATAGGCCCACCCATTAAAATTTCATTTAAAATGCTTTAAATCCCTACATAAAATACAGTCTATATCTACAAATATAGTCCCAGCCACCTTTAGTTTTAAAAAGTCTGGGTATTCACCTAAAATGATTGTCTAATGTAACTCACTGGTGTGAACTTCATGAAGCAGGGAATGTTACTTTAAAATTAACCTATAAAATTAAGAAAAAGTATTAACCTCAGCTTCAATGTATAGTTTCCAGAATCTGCCAGAGCTCGGGAACTGGGTAACAAGTCGCTCATAGGTCTTCCGCGCTTTGTCTATGGGTTGGTTCTATAAGTAAAAACCATCAAAAATAATTTTTTACAACATTTAAAAATATGCAGTCATAAGCTTTTGACGTTTTCCTCCCCAGTCATCTCAACAAGAGGCAATTTCCACAACTGCTTTAGAAATCATATTGTGCAAGTTTTTGAACTGTATAGCAAACAAACATAACCCTATTTCACTAAACCTGTGCCTCTCGTATGAGAATGCTCCATGCATCAAGGTCATATGGATTTTCTTCTAATTTCTTTTCTGCCTTCTTCACTTTTTCAGGAACATACTCTGGAGCCTGTGGAGAAAGAGCATAAACTTACACGATCATGTGTACCACACCCAGCTGTTTTATATTAAATTTAACTATTAACCAAAACACTCAAAAGCTGCATCAACTCAAACAGCAAATTGAAGTAAACATCTTTAATAACCTACTCTAAAATTAAACATGTAAGTTGTATCCATACAGCACTTAACAGTACTGAAATGCTTAAATTTTGAACAGTTTTAATACAGTTGGATAACTGGAGTAAAAAAAATGGTTTTAGCAGATCAGGAGTTTAAACTTGAGAAACAAATCAATGTAGCACCTTCAGAACATCCCTTGTAAATAAAAGCCAAGGTTTTCAGCAACTTGAAAATATTAAGCATTTCATCAACTGAAAAAGCTTTGTGAGTAGCAATTTAAAGCCTTTATTATCTCCAATTTGTTTTTAAAAGTACCAGTCAACTGAGATCATGGCATTTTTTTAAAAATAACCTCGTAAGTAAACAATTCTATAGTTAAATCCCCTGATGCCAACATTTCACCCAGTAAGTGGTCAGCCACATAGAACAGGAAGGCACAATTGAGAAGTCACCCGAGTTAGGGACATGGTTACTATATGTGGGATACAGGATACAGAAAGCAAGTAGGCAAAAATGGGGCAAATTAAAAAGGACAAACAGGAGGCCACCAACTCTTTGGGAAGAAAATATACATTTTATGGTTGGTTGGCTCGCCGAGCTGGTTTGTTGTTCCGCAGACGTTTCATTACCCTGCTGAATAACATCATCAGTGCAATTGAATTGGTGGTTCTCCTTACCCATGTGGATAGAGATGAGTGAGTATTGGTTGTGTCGTTTTGTAGCCAATTGGTGTTCATGTACCTTTGTTGTACCAATTCGACTGGGGCAACACCAAAATCCTGGGACAAGCAAAGCAGAGACAGGCACAGGAATTCCTAGAAGGCTGGTACTCCACGAAGAAAGCCATCAATAAACACATAGAACTCGACCCCATATACACTGCACTCCGAAGGAAAACCGGAAGTGAGGCAATCCAGCCCAACAGACTCCAGAGTTTAAAAACCAGGCGGGAAAACACACCGGCACTTCAATGGAGGCTGCACTGATGATGTTACCCAGCAGGGTAATGAAACGTCTGCAGAACACAAACCAGCTCGGCAAGCCAACCAACCACAACACCCACAACTCGAGCTACAAATCTACTCCAAAACCTTAAAATGTACATTTTTAAATGTTAGGCATTAGGAACTTTGGAAGAATTTCATGTACTCAAATCACAAGAAAAAGGAGAAAATTATTCCTCAGGATTGAGAGAATCTTTCTTTTGATAGGATTCAAAACAAGTCGGCAAAATCATTACAGTTAAGAGTTTGGCATTGTGGAGTGAATTCAGTACTGTGCTCTCCACATAATATGGAACAGCACAAACATCTGTGAATTCTCAGTCAGTCAAAACTTTCAAGAAAAACTAGCAGATTTTTTGCATTCTTACGAGGATATCCAAGGAAATGGAGCAAAGGAAATTGAGTTAAGATTAAAAAAAAAAATCATATGTAACTAATTCATTTTTAGAACAGGCTAGAGGGGCTGAATGACATTCTCCAGTTCTTGCATCCGAGTTCAAACGCACGCCTGCGCACAATGATTTAAATGGCATTTCATATAGGAGTGAAAGGGCAATTCAGCTAATCTTGACTTAAAAGTAAACAAACCAACAAAGGTTCAAGCTGAATCGCTTTTAGAGGGTAACGTACTGAAACTAAGTCAAAGTAAACAATTTCAGGTGCTGTTTTTGGTACAGCTTGTATAAGGTCGTGAATAGCTAAATGATTCAGATAATGCATTTTCCATATTCAGTACTAGGTCTGCCCTAAATTAACTAATCTCTGCCATAAGAGGAGGTTTGGGATGGTAGGAATGGGAAGACAGGTAAAAGAAAAAAAGGAAATGCCTTTCACTGGGATAGAGCACGGCTGTGAACAGCGAGTGCGGGCAAAAATCGCACGACACCCTGACTTACCAAATACTGACACTCAAAAACATGCAAGATAAAGGTGAGAAAGATATTGGATGGAAACTGGACCACCTACGATGGAGTCAATACTTTTAGGAGATGGGAAGGAGAGAGAATTGGCAAGACAAATATACTGTAATTTAATTTACAGAAGAGCTAAAGGCTGTTAAGATAATGGTCTTAAAATAACAATGTGATGTATCTTAATTTAACAGTTGCCAGAGTCCATTTTGATAATGTGAAAATGGAAACTAATAGGCCAAATGAACAATCTAAAAAGAAGATTCTGCACATATCAGACCAAATCTAGTAAGAACAAGGTCAGATCAAGAAAATCACTTAAAAAGTTGATGGAATTTGGAAACACTTAATATTTGGCATCTTATTCACTATCATAGCAATTTTGAAAGTTCACATCAGGACTTGACTTCACAGGCTAGATGCTGAGGCGACAGTTATGATCAAGATAGACAAAAAACAAACATATTTAACTTAAACTTCATCCAGAAACACCATGTCAACCTACTTTTTAAACCAGGAAAAGGTGTGACATAATGCGAAAAATAATCAAAGTGACACAAATAAGCACATATTTAAAACATGATCATTCTTGGTTGAAGTAATTTAGACTAGTTATATTAGTAATGCAAACAGAAGTTATTCACTTCTCATGAAAGCAATAACATATTGACCATCACTACTTAAAGCTCTTTACATCCACAAAAACTTCAAGTCAAACTAATAACCTTGATAATTTGCAAGTTTGATTTTTAGAATAAAGGCAAATTTAGTAAGTTTCTAAAATCAAACTCTGAAAACTCAAATCTAAATTCTACCTTGAAGCTACATAAAGAAACAAAATAAAGCAAATTCTTAAACCCATGCCTAAGAGTTAACCAGGCTTTCATTAAAAGGCACTTTCCTCCTAAATTCAGTAGTCAATACAAATTGAATGTTTCTCCCTCATTAAAAGCTATAACTCATTGGACAGTGCAACAGGAGAAAGTTATAATTGAGATAGCCAGCTTCCAATTATTTTCTCCACTTCTCACTGTTTTGAAATACCAGGGAATTCCTTGACATTTTAAAAAAGATACCCAAACATTTGTGTTAACTCAAAAGTAACTCTCATCATTAAACTTCAGCAGCAGTAAAGCTTTACTAATGATTTAACACCGGAATAACATTAAAGCTGCAGCATAATCATTTCTTTAAACAAACTGGCTGGAATCTATGAAAATGATAACATTTTGATAATTGTAACACGTCAGTAGAATCAACTCTGCCTCTCTGTACAAATCAAACCAGTTTTGTAGGTAAGACCTAAGGATTCCCAAATAACAAATGTAGAAAACATTCAGTCCTACCCAAATAAATTTTGCTAGTTTTTCTTTAATCACTTTGCAAAAACGTACACTTCCTGCTGGGATAGAATATGGTGGTTGTTGCTAGTCTGGTTACAGACAAATGATCATTACTTGTGGGTATTCTCTCAGAAACTATTAGCAGCTTAGATAACCAGTGGTCAACAAATCATTAATCTGCAACCAACTAAAATGCAACTTATTCCAAGATGGCTTAAGGCAACATCACCAGTGGAATAGGAGATAAGACAGAATCAAAAGTGGAGTGACATGCAGGGGTTCCTTAATGGCTGGAACAAGCTGGAGATGGGGCAAGAGATGTCATGCAGAGATTTGCGCACACAATGTTAAATTCAAGAATGGGATGCAATAAGGCCGTATACGCATGCTGTAAAGGGGGTCCTCAACACACACTGGCGTTATACATCATAAAAGTACAACTTTTATGATCTACAAATAATAATCTACAAATGTTTTATTAACTAGCACCTATGGAACAGGAGTGAAGCAGGAGGTTGATCAAGAGGTCCACATATTTTGTACTTTTAAATTGATTAAGTAATAAAAACATAATCCAGGGGGTAAACACATCACATACTTTATTCACAGCATAAATCACTTAAATAAGACAACTTTGCCTTAAATAAAACTTACTGGCAAATTTTTCCCACAAGAAAAAAATGGAATAAGTAGGGATAGGGACTGTAACAAAATGAGAGAACACAAAGTGACTCAGAAGCATCAAGATGGAATGGAGGCACAGACGCGCACTGTATAGAAAGCAAACAACTTGTGAGTTGAACCAAGTCCAAAAAGACAATAACGCAAGTATGAAGGAATTTTACAATTAATTCCTTAAAGTCAACATGACTACAAAACAATGCATATAGCAGAACCCCTATGCAGACAGTTTGCCTTTTATCTTCCAAGTAGAGCCGAGAGACACACAGCAGCCCAAAATATGCAACCTTCCATCATGGTTCATGAAGTCTGCCCTTTGGAGTAAGGAAGCTTTACAAACCATAATATTCCATATTAGAGACAACAAGGTGCAGAGCTGGATGAACACAGCAGGCTAAGCAGCATCATAGGAGCTCCTATGATGCTGCTT